GTGCTAAGATGGACTGAGAAACACAACAAAACCACTACATACAGTGCAATATAATACAGAAGATCATTGACATAATGTATCATATGAATATAATTAGTAAGGTAATAAAGTGCTGTAGTGCTCACAACAGTTTTCACTGTGAAGGTTAAGTTTAAGTTGAATTTGAGTGGGATGGGAATGGGAGAAATGAGCTGTCAAAGGTGGATAGATGGAATGAAGGTGCAACAATGCAGAGACCAGAACAGGATTTCTTGTTGGAGTGTGCTAAGATGGATTAAGAAGAGGTAGTACATTTGTAAAGTGCTGTGGTGTTTATCATGAGGTGCAGATTTACCCATGTCACTGCACATGTCCGGGGGGGGTCATGTGCAGTGACATGGGGGGCTATATACAGTTAGTTAACAGTGATTACAGGTCTGATTTGCCTTGAGCCAGTCTTTCAAATGCCTTTTAAAAATTAGAAAGGTCGAGCAGTCTCTCATGGAGGTTGGCAGGCTGTTCCAGATTTTGCTGCCTCTGACTAATAGAGCAGTCTGTGAGAAGGAAGTGCGCCTAAATGGGATTTCACAGTCTCCTCTAGTAGTTGCTCTAGTGTTGGTACGGTTGGTGGATTTACATTTAAAAAACTGACTCAAGGGTGGGGGTGCAAGTCCGTTCAAGATCTAATACACACAACATGCACGTTTGAAAGTAATGAGATTGTCAAAACTCAGTAGATTATGGCGTGTTAGAATATCACAATGATGATAGGAGAAAGATTTTTTGTCAAAAGTTTACAGAGTTTTTTTATTGCTGCTCAAACAGCCGTGAGCTGGAATGAAATGTCTGTTATGGTGGATTTCTTGCTAATATGACAACTTTTTGGATTTGACTATTAACACACCAAATTTGGACCACAGCATCTACACTACTGAGGAATTATACACTCATGGTGCAACAGAGACTTAAAAAAATTTGACTGTTTCAAAGAAGTACTGTGGTCGGTGGAAATGTGAGTAAAAACATGATATGAATGTTAGATGATGACGTTTTTAACAAAATGTACTTCAACATATTGTTGTCTCCTCTCAATGGTGAATTTTACTTTGTTCACTTAGCGAACACGTCCACACAGGAGTTTTAGTTCGATGGTTTTTCCTGTTTATTGATCCTCCGGTGTGATTTAAGTAGAACTTTACCCACAAGTGCTGCATGTGACTCCTCACTTCCATGAGTTCTTGTGTGCTTTGACCATGAACCAGAACTGATTCATCTCCTACATGTTTTACAAACACAAGGCCACTTGTCTGCATGAGGTCTTATATACCTTTCCAATTGAGACACATCTCTTGCAGGTCTTAAAGTTATGACTTCTCACCAGTGTGTGTTCTCATGTGGACATTCAGGTGACTTTTCTGTCCAAAAACTTTCCCACATGTTGTGCATGTAAATGGCTTTTCACCTGTGTGAATTCTCATGTGAGCCCTCAACTCACTACTCTGTCTGAAAGCTTTCCCACATGTTTTGCATGTAAATGGCTTCTCACCTGTGTGGATTCTCATGTGGGCTGTCAAATGACTATTATGTCTGAATGCTTTCCCACATGTTTTGCATGTAAACGGCTTCTCACCTGTGTGGATTCTCATGTGGGTGTCTAAGTGACATTTATATCCAAAAGCTTTCCCACATGTTGTACAAGTAAATGGCTTCTCACCTGTGTGGATTCTCATGTGGCATTTTAGGTGACCTTTCTGTCCGAAAGCTCTCCCACATGTTGTGCAACTATATGGTGTCTCACCTGAGTGGATTCTCATATGACCTTTCAATGTTGAGTTGTCACTGAATCTTTTCCCACAGGTACTACAAAGGTGCAGCTTCTCACCACTGTGGGTTCTCATGTGGACTGTCAACTCACTACTCTGTCTGAAAGCTTTCCCACATGTTTTGCATGTAAATGGCTTCTCACCTGTGTGGATTCTCATGTGGATTGTCAAAGGACTATTATATCTGAAAGCTTTTCCACATGTTTTGCATCTAAACGGCTTCTCACCTGTGTGGATTCTTTTGTGGGCCAACAAGCTACTATTATGTCGGAAAGCTGTTCCACATGTTTTGCATTTAAATGGCTTCTCACCCGAGTGGATTCTCATGTGTATATTTAAGTTTGACTTATACTGAAAAGCTTTTCCACAAGCGTCACATTTGAAAGATTTTTCACCTGTGTAAGTGCTGAGATGAATCTTCGACATGGCAGAGTTGTTATCATTGTTACTGAGACCATCCTTTTCAAGATGTCCTCCTTCCTCATCTTGGCCTTCAACAACATAAGAGTTGTGGGAGAGCAGCTGGTGGTCACTGGTTGGTATCACATAGGTTATAAATGGTACGCTGATGACAGACTCTTTCTCTGCTGCACTTTGAGTGTCATCATGAATGAAGTCCAGAGTCTGATCTTCACTCTGCTCACTTTCCTCATCAGCAGGAGTCAACATAAAGCCATCAGTCTCCTGCTTCACTACAAGCTGCTCTCCCTCCTGACTGCTGCACACTTCCTCCTCTTCCTCTTTAATGTGTGGAGGCTCTGGCTCCTCTTGGTCCACACTGGACTTCCTCTCCTCAATACAGAGCTGCTGCTCAGGGACAACCTCCTCCTCCTTACACACATGTTGCTGTGGAAGCTCTGGAGGGACACACAACACCAACAGCATACTAATGTGATGGTAAAGAAGAAAAAGCTGACATGCGAGTAAATTGGTACTAATTAGCTTTCACCCACCTGTCCTGTGTAACTTTATTTCAGGCTTCAAAACGATATCCAACAGTCTGCGCTGACGATCGATCTCTTCCTCGTACTCGACGATGCTTCTTTGAAAAACTCCCAATATTTCTTCAGCAGCAGCAGTTAGTCGCTCGTTGACAAACTCTCTCAAAGACTCAACTGAACACATTGTTGTCTAATTATATGTTAAATATTTTTCTACACAACAACTACACCATCATTACACAACTATTTCCATACATCCATAGAGCTAACGCTGCTGTAACAACTGCATTGTTTACTTCAGCTGGATGTGTCACAATGTTAAAGTTCCGGCAGTGAAAATGAGCTATTTTTCTCTTTCCGCTCATCAACAGATTCTTACAGCAGCAGAAAGATGCTTTATCCACAATTTCTCTCCCCACAATAAACAATGAATACATAACCAGAAAAGTCTAGGTATTCTTAGAGTAATGTTTTAAGTGATGATTATTTCTTCAGCAGCAGCAGTTAGTCACTTGTTGACAAACTCTGTCAAAGACTCAACTGAAGACATTGTTGTTAAAGGCATAGCGCACCCAGAAATGAAAATTCAGCCATTATCTACTCACCCATATGCCGATGGTGGCTCAGGTGAAGTTTTAGAGTCCTCACATTCCTTGCGGAGATCCAAGGGGAGAGGGGTAGCAGCACAACTCCACCTAATGGAGGCTTACGGCGCCCCAGATTCAAACATCAAAAAACACATAATTGAAACCACAAAATATCTCCATACTGCTCGTCCGTAGTGATCCAAGTGTCCTGAAGCCCCGACATAAAAAGTTGTTTGGAAAAACGTCATTTGAACTCTGTTTTTAGCCTCATTGTAGCCCGCAGCTCTAACAGCCTCTCTGTGCACCGCGTTCACATGTGCGTGCACACATGAAGGCAGTGGCCATGTCTCACAGTTTCGTGCAAGGGCGCACACATGAGCACGGTGCACAGAGAGCAGGGCTCCAGGACACTTGCACCACTACAGACAAGCAGTATGGAGATATTTTGTGGTTTCAATTATATGTTTTTGGACGTTTGAATCTGGGGCGCCATCAGCCTCCATTAGGTGGAGTTGTGCTGCTACCCCCTCTCCCCTTGGATCTCCGCAAGGAATGTGAGGACTCTAAAACTTCACCTGAGCCTCCATTGGCATATGGGTGAGTAGATAATGGCTGAATTTTCATTTTTGGGTGCACTATCCCTTTAAATTATGAGTGAGATATTTTTCTACATAATTAATACACCGTCATCTTTTCAGGATTCCTCCTTCCTTATACATTGTTAAAGTTCCGGCAGTGAAAGTGAGTTATTTTATTTATTTCTAATCATCAACAGATTCTTACGGTAGCAAAAATATGCGTTATCCACAATCTCTCTCCCCACAGTGAACAATGAACAGATATCCAGAAAGGTTTAGGTTGATTTAATGGCGCAACACAGCTGTTGGCAGGCCACTTCACCCGGCAGTGTTCCGATTTCCTGCTTGATGGGGGGACTGGTGTTGCTTGGAGGTTCCAGGCACTGTGGGGGGCCTCCGGACCTGGCTCCTCCTCCGTCTGACCAGGTTCTGCAGCTGGCGCAACAAAGTCTGATGCGTCAGCTGCCGTTCCTGAGCGTCGCTTCACTTGTTCCCTCCTCAGGCAGGCCATCTTGGCCTGGTGGATTTTCAGACCTCTCGGGTTCTTGCAGACCTTGCCACAAATGCAGACTGCACTCGTGTTCCATTGTCCGTTAGCTTGGGTCATATGGGAGGTAGTTTTCTCTGAATAACCACATTTTACTGGTGCCCTTTTGAGGTATTTCATAATCATTTTAACCAAAAACATACTTGCAGGGGTATGAAGAAGACAGTGCAGACATAAAAATACTCCAGGCTTTAAAAAACATAACAAAAATGTAGAAAGTCACTTCCACCAAAGGGAATTTAAAGTCAGGAACATTAAAATACATATACACAATGGTCCTGTCAGTGTTACTGAGGCTATTTTGTAGCAACTAATTGAGATGGAGATACTTCAAATTTCACCTGGTTCATACACTGATGGATAGTTCAACAAGGCATCGTATTCAATAATCTCACTATTAGTTGTTGTTGTTTATAAAGATTGTAATCAGCAGTAAGTAACTTAAGCTGTCAAGTAAATCTATGGGCCTGAAAAGTCCATTTTCCTGCAAAGTAGAAATATGTGTAGCATTAAAGGAAAGAAATCAAAGAAAACCTCAAAAGTGATCATGTTTTTATATTTATTTGAAGTGTTCCAGATTTCATATCTATGTAGAATAGACATGCAATTGTGGCCATCTGAGGACAATCAATGCTGTACATAAATACAGTACTTGAGTACATGTAGTTAGATTACTCCACTGCACACATGCTTGTTCAATATGAAGCAGCATCACTGATCAAACAGTATCAAATTATACTTTATCTTGACCTCCAGCTGATGAGCTGCAACATTAAAACACCTCTTACATGTGATAAATTAACACTCAGAAAAGAACCATTCTTCATTATTACTACTTTTACTTTCAATGTCAGTCACACCCATCTGCAGCCTTGATGAACAGAAACCACTAACAGCTTTAGACTTCGATCTGGTGTTCTTAAATCGTCACCATAAAAAGCTGTGTTATTATAATTATTTGTTGTCTTGTGTTGCTGCTGAAACAGTTGTGAGCTGGAATGAAATGTCCGTTACGGTGGATTTCTAGCTACCATGACAACAAATTTTTGGATTTGACTCCAACAGCAAAGGTTTGGACCACAGCATCTACACTACTGAGGAATTCTGCACTGATGGTGCAACAGAGTCTTAAAAAAAATTAGACTGTTTCAAAGAAGTACTGTGGTCGGTGGAAATGTGAGTAAAAACATGATATGAGTGTAAGATTTTGACGTTTTTAAAATGTACTTCCTCAACATATTGTTGTCTCCTCTCAATGATGAATTTTACTTCATTCAATTAGCGAACACGTCCACACAGGAGTTTTAGCTCGATGGTTTCTCCTGTTTATTGATCCTCAGGTGTGATTTCAGTAGAACTTTACCCACAAGTGCTGCAAACGTGACTCCTCACTTCCATGAGTTCTTGTGTGTTTTGACCATGAACCAGAACTGATTCATCTCCTACATGTTTTACAAACACAAGGCCACTTGTCTGTATGAGGTCTTATATGCCTTTCCGACTGAGACACATGAAAGTATCATTTCTTGAAGGTCTTACACAGTTATGACTTCTCACCAGTGTGTGTTCTCATGTGGACATTCAGGTGCATTTTCTGTCCAAAAGCTTTCCCACATGTTGTGCAAGGAAAGGGCTTCTCACCTGTGTGGATTCTCATGTGCGCCAACAAGCTACTATTATGTCTGAAAGCTTTCCCACATGTTTTGCATCTAAACGGCTTCTCTTCCGAGTGGATTCTCATATGACTTTTCAATGCTGAGTTGTCACTGAATCTTTTCCCACATGGACTGCAAAGGTACGGCTTCTCCCCAGTGTGGATTCTCATGTGGACTCTAACCTCACTACTCTGCCTGAAAGCTTTCCCACATGTTTTACATCTAAACGGCTTCTCACCCGAGTGGATTCTCATATGACTTTTCAATGCTGAGTTGTCACTGAATCTTATCCCACATGTACTGCAAAGGTACGGCTTCTCCCCAGTGTGGATTCTCATGTGGACTCTAACCTCACTACTCTGTCTGAAAGCTTTCCCACATGTTTTACATGTAAATGGCTTCTCACCTGTGTGGATTCTCATGTGGGCCAACAAGCTACTACAATATCTGAAAGCTTTCCCACATGTTTTGCATTTAAATGGCTTCTCACCGCTGTGGGTTCTCATGTGGACTGTTAACCCACTATTATGTCTGAAAGCTTTCCCACATGTGTTGCATGTAAACGGCTTCTCACCTGTGTGGACTCTCAAGTGTACATTTAAGTCTGACTTATACCGAAAAGCTTTTCCACAAGTGTCACATTTGAAAGATTTTTCGCCTGTGTGAGTTCTGAGGTGAATCTTTGACATGGCAGAGTTGTTATCATTGTTACTGTGAGTATCGTTTTCATGATGTCCTCCTTCCTCATCTTGGCCTTCAACAACACGAGAGTTGTCAGAGAGCAGCTGGTGGTCACTGGTTGGTATCACATAGGTTATAAATGGTACGCTGATGACAGACTCTTTCTCTGCTGCACTTTGAGTGTCATCATGAATGAAGTCCAGAGTCTGATCTTCACTCTGCTCACTTTCCTCATCAGCAGGAGTCAACATAAAGCCATCAGTCTCCTGCTTCACTACAAGCTGCTCTCCCTCCTGACTGCTGCACACTTCCTCCTCTTCCTCTTTAATCTGTGGAGGCTCTGGCTCCTCTTGGTCCACACTGGACTTCCTCTCCTCAATACAGAGCTGCTGCTCAGGGACAACCTCCTCCTCCTTACACACATGTTGCTGTGGGAGCTCTGGAGGGACACACAACAACACCAACAGCATACTAATGTCATGCTACAGCAAACATACACATATGCCAGTAAATTACTTCAATTAGCTTTCACCCACCTGTCCTGTGTAACTTTATTTCAGGCTTCAAAACGATATCCAACAGTCTGCGCTGACGATCGATCTCTTCCTCGTACTCGACGATGCTTCTTTGAAAAACTCCCAATATTTCTTCAGCAGCAGCAGTTAGTCGCTCGTTGACAAACTCTCTCAAAGACTCAACTGAACACATTGTTGTCTAATTATATGTTAAATATTTTTCTACACAACAACTACACCATCATCTCCCAGCTATTTCCATACATCCATAGAGCTAACGCTGCTGTACCGCCTGCATTGTTTACTTCCGCTGGATGTGTCACATTGTTAAAGTTCCGGCAGTGATAATGAGCTGTTTTTCTCTTTCCGCTCATCAACAGATTCTTACAGCAGCAGAAAGATGCTTTATCCACAATTTCTCTCCCCACAATAAACAATGAATACATAACCAGAAAAGTCTAGGTATTCTTAGAGTAACGTTTTAAGTGATGATTATTTCTTCAGCAGCAGCAGTTAGTCACTCGTTGACAAACTCTCTCAAAGACTCAACTGAACACATTGTTGTCTAATTACAAGTGAAACATTTTTCTACACGACAACTACACCATCATTAACAACTAATTCCATACTTTCACAGAGCTAACGCTGCTGTAGCGCCTGCATTGTTTACTTCCGCTGGATGTGTCACACTGTTAAAGTTCCGGCAGTGACAGTGAGCATTTTTTTTTCTTTCCGCTCATCAACAGATTCTTACAGCAGCAGAAATATGCTTTGTCCACAATCTCTCTCCCCACAGTTAAAGGGAAATTTAGGTTTATTTCAACCCGTCTCCTATCGTCCTAAATTTGTTTCAAGTGACTAGTGACATAAAAATAATAGTTAGCATGTTAGCCGTTAGCCTAGATACAGCCGGGGCGCATAGTAGCGTCAGACCTGTTAAAACGTAGGTGAACGGGCATACTTCAAGTGCAAAGTTAGTTAGGCTGACCAAACGTCCTCTTTTGCCCGGACATGTCCACTTTTCACTTCCCGTCCGGGTTTTTTTATAAACTGATGATAATGTCCGGTTTTCCGTGTGTTTGTGTGTGTGTGTGTGTTAGAGTGCGGCACGGGCCGCATATTTCTGTCCGAACCCGAATTGAGCCTGACATTATTTAATGACCAAAGCACTGAGTTTGTGTCACGCAGTGGTTACAGGCTATTTAACAGGCCGGGCGTGCGCCGTGGGTGCTCAGCTGCGGAGAGGGAGACCTCCGTGTTTGAGACGGGAGCGGGAGGCGGGAGGTTCGACGCTTCTAGCGAGAGGAGAGGGAGAAATATAACAAAATAAGATAAAATAGGAAAAACCTGTCTCCCTCGTTTATTTTATTTTCAGCGTTTAATCAAGGCGGAGGCAGGCGGCTGGAGGTCCGAGACTTCCAGAGAGGGGAGAGGTAGAAACAAACAGCCAATGTGTGTCTGTGTGTTATGTTCAGGTGTTGTCACGTAAATAACAGTGCCCAGGCAATAAACAGGACAGACAATAGGATTTTATTTATTTTTACACTACATTTTCACTGAAAGCTGACTGAATCCGACCCGAGCCAGAATACAATTTATAGCACTGGGCTCGCATGTTTGTTTACCATTTAGCTCTGCTTTCCAAAGCGCGGCCAAAATATATCTGCGAGCTCTAGATAAAGCCCAGCTAGATACTACTCCAGGTGGAGGTGTCTCGTCCTCAGTCACATACAGACCTTGAAAATAAGGCTGCAACCGGTCCCATTCCTTGCAACAGAGGCATTCCTCTTCTGTGGGCACTGGGGCACAGCATTCACAGGTACACCACCAATCTCCAGAGCTAAAGCCTTGCAGCAGCCATTCCTCCTCTCTCGTCCTCTACCTATTGCGCCTCTCTCTCTCTCCTCCTCCGTTCTTCAATTTCAGGAAGCTCTTCATCAGTGTATTCTGGCTCAAATAAATAAGGGCGGCCATCAAACTCTGCAAAATCAATTCCTCCTCCACAAAGTCGAAGTCTGGCAAAAAGTCAGCCATTATTCTAAAAATCTTTCATAAAATAAATGAATGAACTTTTCAGGCTACTGTCCGGTTCTGCCTTCCAGCTGTTGCTGCTTGTTCTCGCGAGATTTCAGGCACGCTATGAGATCGCTGCTTGCTCTCACGACATTTCGGCCGCGCTTTGGAAAGCAGAGCTAAATTGTAAACAAACATGGCACCACACCAGTAAGGTAAGACAGCACGTTTACATGTCGTTTTCTATATGTTCTCTGACATTTATCCTAATGATATGAGGCAGTCCTTGTGGAAAAAAATCTTGTTTAGTGGACTAACTTTGCACCTGAAGTATGCCCGTTCACTTACGTTTTAACAGGTCTGACGCTACTATGCACCCCAGCTGTATCTAGGCTAACGGCTAACATGCTAACTATTATTTTTATGTCACTAGTCACTTGAAACAAATTTAGGACGATAGGAGACAGGTTGAAATAAACCGAAATTTCCCTTTAACAATGAACAGATATCCAGAAAGGTCTAGGTCAATTTAATGTCACAAGTTTAAAATAATGATTTGTGGGGAAAACTCTTTCTGCTGTCAGTGTGCTTGTACAGCTCTCCTACTTCATGTCAAAGAGAAACTGTAATTTTCTCTGATAACCATATTTTACTGATGTGTTTTTGAGGTATTTCACAATCATTTTAACAAAACATACTTGCAGGGGTCTGAAGAAGAATAAAAAGAAGAAGAAAAATATCACAGGCTTTCACAACTTTAGAAAATGTAGAAATTTACTACCAAAAAAATGTAATTTAAAGTATGAAACTTGAAAGAACTCATATACGCAATGGCCCTGTAGTGTTACTGAGGCTATTTCATATTTTGCCTGGTTCACACACTGATGGATACTTCAACAAGGCATCAAATGTAATAACCCCACTATTAGTTTTTGTATGTTAAGATTCTAATCAGCAGAAAGTAACTTTAGCTGTCAAGTATATCTAGTGGCCTGAAAAGTCCATTTTCCTGTAAATAGAAATATGTGCAGCATAAAGGTAAAGTAATCAAAGAAAACCTCAAAATTGATTATATTTTTATGTTTATTTGAAGTGTTCAAGACTTCACATATATGAAGAATTTGCATGCAATCATGGCCATCTGTGACAATCAATGTTGCACATTAAGCACTGAAGTACCATTAGTTTGGTTCCTCCACTGCTTACACATTTATTCAATATGAAGCAGCTCCTCTGATCAAACAGTATCAAATTATACTTTATCTTGACCTCCAGCTGATGAGCTGCAACATTAAGCACCTCTTACATGTTATAACTTAACACTCAGAAAAGAACCATTCTTCATTATTACTTTTACTTTTAATGTCAGTCACACCCATCTGCAGCCTTGATGAACAGAAACATCTAACAGCTTTAGACTTCAGGGTGAATCTTATATTCTTAAATCGTCACAATAAAAAGCTTTATAATTATTTGTTGTCTTGTGTTGCTGCTGAAACAGCCGTGAGCTGGAATGAAATGTCCACCATAGTGGATTTCTTGCTAATATGACAACAACTTTTTTGATTTAGATTTTTACCACACAAAGTTTGGACCACAGCATCTACACTACTGAGAGATTATGCACTCAGGGTGCAACAGAGATTTAAAAAAAAACTTAGTGTGCTTTAAGTAGAACTTTACCCACAAGTGCTGCAAACATGTGACTCCTCACTTCCATGAGTTCTTGTGTGTTTTGACTATGAACCAGAACTGATTCATCTCCAAAATGTTTTTAAAACACAAGGCCACTTGTCTGTATGAGATATAATATGCCTTTCCTATTGAGACACATCAAAGTGTCATTTCTTGCAGGTCTTGCAAAGTTATGACTTCTCACCAGTGTGTGTTCTCATGTGGACATTCAGGTGACTTTTCTGTCCGAAAGCTCTCCCACATGTTGTACATGTATATGGCTTCTCCCCTGTGTGGATTCTAACATGACTTTTTATTGCTGATATGTCACTGAATCTTTTCCCACAGGTATTGCAAAGGTACGGCTTCTCCCCAGTGTGTGTTCTCATGTGAACACTCAACTCACTACTCTGTCTGAAAGCTTTCCCACATGTTTTGCAGTTAAACGGCTTCTCGCCTGTGTGGATTCTCATGTGGTTTTCTAGGTGACATTTATATCTGAAAGCTTTCCCACATGTTGTACAAGGAAATGGCTTCTCACCTGTGTGGATTCTCATGTGGGCGAACAAGCTACTATTGTATCTGAAAGCTGTTCCACATGTGTTGCAGGTAAACGGCTTCTCACCTGTGTGGCTTCTCAAGTGTGTATTTAAGTTATACTTGTACTGAAAAACTTTTCCACAAGTGTCACATTTGAAAGATTTTTCACCTGTGTAAGTGCTGAGGTGAATCTTTGACATGGCAGAGTTGTTATCATTGTTACTGAGACCATCCATTTCATGATGTCCTACTTCCCGATATTGGCTCTCAACATGAGAGCTGTGAGAAAGCAGCTGGTGGTCACTGGTGGTTGGTATCACATAGTTTACAAATGGTATATTGACTTCAGACTCTTTCTGTGCTGCACTTTGAGTGTCATCATGAATGAAGTCCAGAGTCTGATCTTCACTGTGCTCACTTTCCTCATCAGCAGGAGTCAACATAAAGCCATCAGTCTCCTGCTTCACTACAAGCTGCTCTCCCTCCTGACTGCTGCACACTTCCTCCTCTTCCTCTTTAATCTCTGGAGGCTCTGGCTCCTCTTGGTCCACACTGGACTTCCTCTCCTCAATACAGAGCTGCTGCTCAGGGACAACCTCCTCCTCCTTACACACATGTTGCTGTGGGAGCTCTGGAGGGACACACAACAACACCAACAGCATACTAATGTGATGGTAAAGAAGAAAAAGCTGACATGCGAGTAAATTGGTACTAATTAGCTTTCACCCACCTGTCCTGTGTGACTGTATTTCGGGTTTCCAAACGATATCCAACAGTCTGCGCTGACGATCGATCTCTTCCTCGTACTCGACGATGGTTCTTTGAAAAACTCCCAATATTTCTTCAGCAGCAGCAGTTAGTCGCTCGTTGACAAACTCTCTCAAAGACTCAACTGAACACATTGTTGTCTAATTATAAGTGAGATACTTTTCTACACAACAACTACACTAACATTTCACAGCTAATCCCATACATTCATGGAGCTAACGTCTGCATTGTTTGCCGCTGGATGTGTCACACTGTTAAAGTTCCGTCAGTGACAATGCGCATTTTTTTCCCTTTCCGCTCATCAACGCGTTCTTACAGCAGCACAAAGACGCTTTGTCCACAATTGTCCCTCC